CCCCAGGCCCTGCCAGCTTGGGAAGCGGGCTCCGTCCTGACTAACGGCTGGTTCGGTGGTTTCAGCGCCCCCCCCTTGGGCTCCTCACTGCGCCTTCTCTTTCCCGCTGGCCCCTGCTCCTCCCTGCTTTCTCCCTGCCTCCTCCATCAGGCTCTGTCACCGGTCTCATTCCTCATGGAGTCAGCCCTGGGCCCTATCACTGTTCCTGGGGGAGCTACAGCCAAAGCCTGGTGTAGTTTCATTCCAGAAGACTTGACCCCACTGAGGAATTTCAGGTAGCCACACAATAGGGAAGGGAGGCGTTTGCAAGCCTGAGAGAAGAAGCCCTGCAAGGTGCTAGAATCAGACGACGTGCCCCTCGTCTCTGCCTTGTGTAGACACCTGGTCATGCTCATAAATGCACTGGAGAGGCCGCGGACACCGCTATTCCCCCTGCGGAAGTTCCCGCAGATTGCCAGGTTTTTCTCTCTCCCAGGTGAGGTCTCTTAGAATGCAGGTTCCTGCAGAAGGAGCAGTGCTGAGCTGACACCCTGCAGTACCAGATCATTGTCTCCTGAAGAGGTCCTGGTCCAGGGTTTATTTATCAAAGGAGTTGGGTGAGACGAAAAAGGGCAGGGAGGCTGCATTGGATCCCAGGGGCAGGTCCTAGAGGGATGCCACCAGGCCCAACGGGAAGTCTCCCAGCCATGTATCCTGGTGGGTGGGCTGGAAATAGAACCCCTATCCTAGCTGGCTCTGTGCCTCTGTGGGGGTGCAGCCAGGGCTCCCCATCACTCACGTGTAGGCTCATGAACCTTCGCCCAAGATCTGGTTCTCACTGCTGTCTCTCTGGGGGCCTCTCCTTCACGCTGCACCTTCCTCCCACCTCTGGGGAAGCTGGTCTTTACCATCTTTTAGCCTTTAAAATATATATATATATAAAAAAAGTCTGTTCCTGGCTCCAGCTGCCCTCCTGGCCCCTGTGTGCCCCAGCTCACTCCCACTCACCCCCACTGGCGTGCCAGATTTCCTGCCCTGGGGCCAGACTGAAGTCCTGGAGGGCGGAACTAAACAAAAGGAGGTGTTTCTTCTTGGACACAGGACACAGGACACACTTCCCTCTCCTGGCCTCACAGCAAACCAGGTCCCGTCCAGCTGCCCGAGGAGGTGACAGTAGGGCTTGGTAGGGGGCTGCCTCAGCACCGGTTGTCCAGGTGGGATGTTCATGGGCAAGGCGACATCCCATCCCAGCTCTGCAGGGCCTGTGTCTGGTCTCTGTTGCTTTGCATTTACGCCGTTCCTTTCTGAGGATTACTTTGTTTGTTTATTTGGGTTTTTTTCTGTGTATCTTGATTCCCTAAAGCCAAGGACCATGCCGCCTCCATCAGACTGGGGGCTCTGGGAGGAATGGACCCCACCCCCAGACTAGGACTCCAAGGGCGATGGGCGTCCCTCATGGCTGGGCTGCCTGGAGGCGGGAGCTGGGTTTCTTCTTTGAGTGGGGGCTGTCCGAGGCACAGGTTATCTTTGCAGACGAAGTATTCCTTTCAAGTCCGGTGGTCTTCCAGGGCAGCTCTGTGTCTCCTCCATCAGATGGGCACTTGTTAAGGGCAGGACTGTGTCTCCGCTTAGACGGGGCCCTTTAAGCAGGAGCTGCCTCTCTTCTTCTCTGTCACGAGTTCAAGGCCCGCTTTGCTCCCAGGGCCCACTCTCCCAAAGAAGTGTGGGAGGAAGGTGAGGGCTGAGTCCTGAGATCAGAAATCACATGGAGTGCCTCTGGGGTCAGGGCAGGCACTGCTGGTCAGTGCCAGGCCTGTCCTAGTGTGAGTGGACACTGGCGGCAGAGACGCGGACTGGGACTAAACTCAGCTCAAGGACACGGATTCATCAGGCTGCATCCCTGGGTGGCCAAGAGCAGAGGCTAAGGGCGGGCCGGGCAGCCGTCACCTTGGCGACCCCTGTCCTGTCCCTGGGCCAAGAGGGCAGATGGCAGAGAAGGAAGAAGGTAGGCGTGTGAGTGTGTGAGTGAGTGTGTGTGTGTGTGTGTGTGTGTGTGTGTGAGTGAGTGTGAGTGTGTGTGTGAAGAGGGTGTTGCTGACTCAGAGGGGTCAGTTCTGGGGGAACAGGGATGACCCTAAGGATGGGACGGCAGGAGGGCACCTCGCGTTGGGCAGCTGCCAGAGTCCGGGCCCGGGCTCAGCTGCCAGGTCTCCGCCCCAGTGCTGCAGGGCCACGTGTACCGGTTCTGCACGGCCGAGGGCCTCTGGCTGCACAAGGACAACTCCAGCCTGCCCTGGAGAAACCTGTCGGAGTGCGAGGAGTCCAAGCGAGGGGAGAGAGTGAGTTGATGGGGATTCTGAGCCATGGGGTGGGTAGCAAGGTCTCAGCCCCATTGGAGCGGAGACCCCAGGCACTTGGCGGGCCTATCCATGGGCATCTCATCCATCCCCTGCCTTGGGGGCTTTGCACACGGCACTCTCTCCACAGAGGTGGTGTGTGCACCTCTCTGGCCCCCCAAATCTAAGGACTGTCACCACGAGTTATTCTCTTTCTCAGTTCTAGTGCCTGCCGGGGCTAGGCTCAGGGCCCCATCTCGTCCGTGTCCCCTGGGGAAGCAGAATGTGGGAGAGAGAGGACAGGCACTGCCCCATGAACACGCGTGTCCCCTGTGTGCACACAGAGCTCCCCCGAGGAGCAGCTCCTGTCCCTTTACATCATCTACACGGTGGGTTACGCACTGTCCTTCTCGGCTCTGGTTGTCGCCTCGGCCATCCTCCTCGGCTTCAGGTAAGGGGGCTGAGACCCTGGGAGGGGGCCTGTGTCATCTGAATGTTTCCAGATACAGGGCTGTAATAGTGCAGCAGGTCCACTCCAAAACTTTCCAGAGAGCCCCTGCGTGGAATGAAGCTGAAAACATGGCCGGCAACACTGTGAACGTAGTCAAATCTCCACTGTGTGAATGCGAACATGCACACTAACGAAAAGGAAAAAGACTGAAACCAAAAGAACCACCACACATGTACCGCCCCCCCTGCATGTTCACACACATGCAGACACACACACACACACACACACACACTCTCATAACATTGGGTACTAGGAGTACGGAAAATCCTGGGAAATCCTCGCCAGTGAGTGTAGTGTAACTTAAATAATAAAGAATCAAAATGATTTCAGAAAAGATCTTAGAGATTATAGAGTCTTTTTAAAAAAGAATTAGTTTATTTGACTTTATTTATTTATCGATTTATTTATCTTTACATTGACTTGAGAGGGAGAGAGAGAGAGAGAGAGAGAAAGCAAACCACCAGGTCCAAGATTTGAACCATAGTCGGCCATGTTGGAATCCAGCGCCCTTAACCACAGCACCATCTGCTGGCCTAGGGATTATAGAATCTGTTCTCCTTGGAGCTTGCCAACTTGAGAGGAAAAGTTCCTCCTTACTTCAGCTGAGGCGTGACATTCCTTTCAGACTAGAATTGAGGGAGCAAAGGTTTTTCCCCGTCCCCTCTGTACTTAGCAGGGGCGGCCAGGGGAGCGGGGTCAGGCACAGAAGGGATTCTGGGGAAACACTTCAGAACACAGGTCAACAGGACCAGGGGAGGCAGCATCCTGCCTCAAAGGCACCTGGCATAGCCCTGGGCACACTGCACTTCAAATGCACTCGCTTGATGAATCTTCTCCTTTTTATAAAGTTGTATTGATTTTATCCATGATAGAGTACATACATGCACAAGGGAGAGAGGGAGACAGAGAAGCATCCTTGACAGCGTCTCATCAGGCTGCGATCCCCTGGCCCCAGCTCTCCCTTGTCAGGGTCTTGGGCATGTGCGCATGCGCCTAGCCTGGGTATCAGAACCTGCTGTCAGCCCTGTGTGCGGTTCAGTTTGCTACTGGCGGCACCCCCAGGCTGGGCCTCTCCTCTTTTCTTATGAAGTATTTCAGAGACTCAGAACCACAGTGACTGACAAGGTCACCTGTGCACTCACCATCCGACCTAAGAGCTAAAGCTTACCCATACTGCCCTGGGAGCCCTCTCCGTTCACGTCCCTCTCCCTGCACCACCCCCACCAGAAGTGACCCTTGAATATACTCCTTATAATCCCTCGCATTTCCCTATATGTCCACCACATTCATAAGTATCTATAAATATAAATATATATATACACACACACACACACACACACACACACACACATATATATATAATGTAGTTCTATGTATTTTTAATAGTATCTTGTATATCTGTCTTGGTCTGTTTCTGCTGCTATAACAAAATAGCTTAGACTGGGTAATTTATAAATAATAGAAATGTGTCTTGGATGTGGAGGCCGGCAAGTCAGGGCTCCCCGTCTGTTGCCTTCTCTCTGTGTCTCACAGGAAGGGTGAGCACTGCCCAAATGTGGCTGAAGGGCATAAGGGCTCACAAACTCCCTCAGGCCTCTTTTATAAGGGCGTTAATTCCATTCACAACAATGGAGCCTTGCCTCTTAAGACTAAGAAGGCCCCACATCTTCATACTGCTGCATTGGGAATTACATTTCACCATGAATGTTGGAGGTACACAACATTCAAACCATAATACTGTTCTTCTGCAATTCATGTTTTGTTCCTACATTATGGTTTTGTGAGGTTCATTCCCCTTGATAAAGGTAGTTCTATTTCATTACTTTTAACTGTCATTTTGTATTTTGTTGTAGGATATAGCACAGTCTATTTATCTGCTATCCTTTTAATGGACACTTGCAGTGTTTCTTTTCTTCTTTCTGAATTACAAACCCTGCTACAATGAAAATTCTTTTTTTTTTTCTTTTTCTTTTTTTAGAGAGAGAGATTTTGCAATAGGGCACATGTGATTGGCAAAGAAACAGAGAAAGACAGAAAGACAGAAAAGGGAGAAATCACCCTCTGGGGGGATGGCCACACCACAATCCCTTCTCCTCCACTTTTCTCTCAGCATTTTGGACATGCATGCACACGTACCTGGTATGAGTTTTAGGCCGCTGGGTCGGGGACTTAAACCATGGTCAACCACATGGGAGTCCAGTGACATAACCATTACGCCATCTGCTAGTCCCTACAATGAGCATTCTTACCTGTGACCTCTTGTGCATCTCTCGAGGGCATATAAGTGGGAGTAGAGTGCCCAGTTCAAATACTTTCTGTTTTTGCAAACTTGCCTGGTGTTGATAAGTTGCTTTCTACAGGGGTCATAACCAATCTGTCCTCTCACCAGCAATAAGAGATTGTTCTTTGTTTAACATTGTCATCCATATTTAGCATTTTCAGACTTAATTGTTGCTAATCTGAAATGTGTGAAATCTCCTTGTGATTTTAATTTGCATATCCCTGATTCCTAGAACGATCAAGCATTTCTTCATGATGTATTCTATGAATTACTTATTCACATTCTTTGCTTACTTTTTTTTTTTTTTTTGAGAGAGAGATTTTTGCTATAGGGTGCATGCACTTGCTGGAGAGACAGAGAGACAGAAAGTGAGAAATCACCCCTCAGGGGTGATGGCCACACCACAATCCCTTCTCTTCCACTCTCCTCTTGGGATTTTGGCACGCGCCTCTACGCGCTGGCATGAGTTTCAAGCTGCCACTGTCAGAACTTGAACTGTAGCTGCCTACATGGGAGTCCAGTGACGTAACCATTACACCTTCTGCTGGTCCCCTTTGCTTACTTTTTATTAGCTTATCTGGATTTTTCTTTATTTTAAGCATTTATTACATAATCCGGATACTAATCTAGGATGTAATCTTGTTTAGTCTATGGCTTATTTTTTCACTAATTTTATGGTACTTTTATCCTTAAAACTTCCTAATTTTAATGGAATTAAATTGATAAAATTTAACAATTTATAAAAATAATTTTATCAATTTATAAAAAAAAATTATCTTTTTTTCCCAAAGAACACATTTCTTTGTGGCTTTACCTAAGTAATGTTTACTTATCCTAGGGTCATAAATACAGTCACCCTTATTTTCTTCTAAAAGTTGTCAAGTTCTGCTCTCCTTTTATGGTTCTTAGATCTACCTGAAATCTCTTTCTGTGTAGGCTAAAAATAGAGTATTTCATTTTATTTCTCATATATGCATGTGACTAATTGCCGTGGTGCCATTTATTGGTGGCCCACCCTTTCCTCCATGGTTTGCAGCATCCCTTCTACCATGCCCTGAGGCCCACATATGTGTGGACTGGTTCCTGGCACCTATGCCTTCCTATTGGTCTAGGGATCTGCCCCTGTCCCCAACCTCATCTTTCCTGAACTACTTCAGATTTAGTAGAAATCTCAGTTCTCATATAACGAGGGCCCCTTGGTGGTTCTTTAAGAGTATCTGGACTGACCCTTGGCTTTTCTTTTAAAATTTTAAAAGTTCCATGGGGGAGGGGGACAACTCTGTTCAAATTTTGACTACGGCTGCATTGAATTTCTCAATTAATGTGGGAGAACCCACTCCTTTAAGATAGTGATTTTTTTTTCTTTTGGAGAGGTTTTCGCTATAGGGCGCGTGCGCTCGCCAGACAGACAGAGAGAGACACGTAGAGACAGAAAGCGAGAAATCATCCCCCAGAGGGGATGGTCACGCCGCAATCCCTTCTCCTCCATTCTCCTCTCAGGATCTTGGGCATGCACGCACACGCGTCCGGCGTGAGTTTTAAGCCACCGGGTCCGGGACGCGAACCGCGGTCGATTACGTGGGAGTCCAGCGACATAGCCATTACGCTAACTGCTGGTTCCCAATAGTGATTTTTTTCTGTTCATGCATGTGGTTTATCTGTGTATCTCCCACTAATTTAAGTCTTCTCTAAGGAGTTTAAGTAAGATTCATCATTTCCTCCACAGAGATCTCACCCACATTGCTTTAGTCTTATTTCCAGGTAGTCAGTTAAGAACTTCACAAATGGGCTGGCCTGTAGCACAGCTATTGAGTGCAGTGCATAGGGAGCCAGATCTCACATGGCTGACCACTGTTCAAATCCCAGTCCCAGCAGCTTGAGAGACATTCCAGGCACATGCGCGTGCATGCCGAAAGCCCTGATGGGAAGGAGAAGAGATTACAGTATGATCCTGCCTCGTTGGGGGTGTTTTTTTCCTCTCTCTCTAGTGAATGCTTGCACCCTCTGGTAATTTCAAACATAAACTAAAAAAGAAAAGAAAGAGAAAGAAAAATGATAAATGAATTATTTTTTTAAATTAACCATTCATTTATTTATTGCTCATGTATATATAATCTAATTTGCAGCCTTACTGAGTTCTCCTATTCATTCTAATCATGTCTGTGAATTCTCTTACATTGTCTATGAAGATACCCTATCACCTACAAAGAAGGACCGTTCTATTAATTTCCAGTTTTGATACATATTTTCCCTTGACTTATGATAGTGCCTAGGAGCTGTAGTACAACATTAATGTAGAAATAAGGCTGATGTACATCTTTATTTTATTCCTGATTTTAAAGGAAATGCTCCCACCGTCTCTCAGTTAAGAATGACGTTTGCTCCCGGTCTGGTAGGCTGGATATCAGGGTAAACCACGCTCTGGTGTTTCCAGTTTGCTATGCGTCTCTACATGAGAAGATATCAAAACTGTCCCTAACTGTCCCTAGCACTGCCTGAACTCCCACGATGTGCCTAGCCTCGGTCTGCCTGTGTGAGGCCGGCCAGAGGCATTTAAGACATGGGCCTGCCATGAAGAAGCAGAGCAGTGTCCATGGGGAAACTGATCCTCACACCCAGATCTCTTTGGTTACCCATGGCTTTTATAAAAGAAGATGCTGCAGAGCAAAGAGTAGAATTCGGGTGGCAGGAGCGGCAGGGACTACAGAGCTGACGGCTTCATGGAGGGGCAGGACTTGAGGACCAGAAGCAGTTTTGAGGTTACGGGGAGGGTCTGCAGAGGAAGAAAGGCACACACCCCACCCCAGAGCTGGGGAGGTCTGATGGGTGTTGGCCTGAGAACCGGGGGTGGTGGGAGCAGAAATGCTGGCCATTTGCCAGGGAAGAGCCCCGTTTCTCCCTCAGACACCTGCACTGCACCCGGAATTACATCCACCTGAACCTGTTTGCGTCCTTCATCCTGAGAGCACTGTCCGTCTTCATCAAGGACGCGGCGCTCAAGTGGATGTACAGCACGGCTGCGCAGCAGCACCAGTGGGACGGCCTCCTCTCCTACCAGGTGGGTGGTGTGTTCCGGGGTGCCCGGGGAGGGAGGGGCGTTGGCAAAGACCAGCCTCTACCAGCCCACCCAGGCCTGGGGCAAGGAACGGCAAAAGCTGCCCGGCCCTAGCCTTGGGGAGTCCCTAGTCTGGAGGGAGAGGGGAGGCCCCAGCCTAAAGGAGGAGACATGCCCTAAGGAGTTCTCAAGTCTGACTCAGGGCATGGTCTTTGGGGACAGACCTGCGTGTGAATCCCAGCTCTGCCACTTACTGAGCGTACAATGCGGGGCATCACTGAACTTCTCTGAGGCTCAGTTTTCTTTCTTTCTTTCTTTCTTTTAAAGAGATCTTTGCTAGGCACCAGCAGTTGGCATAATAGCTATGTCGCTGAACTCTCATGTAGTTGAGTCCTGGACCCGGTGGCTTAAACTCATGGCGGGCCCGTGTGTGTGTGTGTGTGTGTGTGTGTGTGTGTGTGCGTGC